CCCCCCCCCCCCCCCCGATACGTCAATTTCCCCCGGGGGGGTTGGTTTCAGAATGAAAAACGATCTCCTCCCCGGGGGCAAAACTGCGACGTTTACGGTATACTTCTATCTGTACACCCCACACACATATCTTTTCATTGGTCAGCCGGTTAACGCGGTCAGCAAAGTAAGCTAAACACACCGTGTTCTCCCAATATTCCCGCTTGGTCTCTGCCCGTCCCACTCCCTCGTCCCAACTCCTTCCAACGTCTTCCAACGTATTCCAACGTTACCCAGGACAGTGGCAGTGGCCAAGAGGACTGCGGCGATGCCGCCGCCACTTCCGTAGCGGGAGGAGGTGCTGCCGCCGTGGNGGGGGGGGGGGGGGGGGGGGGGGGGGGGGGGGGGGGGGGGGGGGGGGGCGCGCGCGCGGGGCATTATAATAGTGTTATTTTACGTTGTTGGCTCTGAAGGGGACGCTAAAGGTATGTATTTCCGCTTGAAGGCTTGATGAAGTGCGTGTCGCCCCCCCCTTCCATCCGTAGGTGTGGCTCATCGTGGTTTCTGCGATGGTCGTTGAACGTCTCCGCCCTGACTTGACTTGTTGTGTTACACGGAAGGGTGGATGCCGACTTGCATCGGACTTTTCCTCTCGAAAATTTCTCTCACGCCTTGCTCTTGGATCGAGCTCCAAACATGTCGGTTTTCTATGTTTTTGTACACCGTTGATATGATCATTGATGGCAAGTTGTAGACGCGTTCCACACCTCACGGGCTAGCCATGCCGGGCCCAAGTCTGTCGGTACCGTTTCGACTTGGTTGCTGACGGTTTGCGGGCGCGGGGGCGTGGGGCATCTCGTCGCCGCGCTGGAGGTGCACCCGCGCCGCATTCCGTACCGTTTGGCATTGGTAGTGTTTTTTCATTAAAGTTGAAGGTCGCACGCGTTGTTGTCTGTTTGCGAGGTACCCAGCGTGCTTCTGCGTACGGGTTGTGGTCGGAGTCGAGGCAAGTTGTTCGTAGTACTTCCCAACAAACGATAAATGCGCGTGCGTATGCATACCGCGAACGAACTGCTGCTTGCTGCTGCTTGCAGGCTTGCTTGGCCGCGCCCGGCCTTATCCTCGAGCTCCACCTCACGCACGCCCCCCCTCCCCTTTCCTTGCCCCACGGCCATCTCCACTTACCTCCATTGAATTTGGATGCTCAAGTAAGCGCGAACGACACCCCCTGGGACGAGGAAGTGTTCGCTCCCGCAGCTGGCGGCGACGGGAGGCCACCCCAAGGTATGAGCAGGGGGAGACGGTAGTTTCGATGTTGGGATATTGTTTTGTCCCTTTTTTGAAACACCGTGACCGTACTAGTTCTTGGTATCGTGTATCGAACACAACAGGCCGGGTTCACGTGTTTGTATTTTTCAGTATGCTACGGTATGCGTGTCTTGTACTCTGAATCGTTTTCTCGATTGGTCGCACAACCAAGCGCAACGACAAGAACAGAAATAACAGCGACGATGACAACCAACGACAACGCCAACTACTACAAAAGGTGTGTCGTCCGAAGGGCTGCCCGTGGGATGAAGACGTTGGCGCCTTCGCTGCGGAAGAGGAGCACATGGAGGTGGGTACGGTATGCGCGAGCGCCAGCGCGGATTCTGACCTCTGCGTGCCGACGTATCTCCTGCCTGCACTTGTTCTCGGTATTGGTGCTTGTGAGCAACGGTGAATGCGTCGTTCAATCGAACAGGTTTTATCCTCCAGACCTCTACATTGTGCACATGAGGAATTGCTCAGCAACGGGCCGGATACATGAACAGGTGCAGAAGCCCCACACCCACAGAAAATCGTCCTCGTTTCCCTTTTTTTTCACTTGTCCTTTGGGCGGTGATGATACAACGCATTGGGCTTCGTCCGATCCCGACCTGCAGGCAATTTGAACGCGGATCAGATGGTCTCACGCCGAATGAACGGAGTTGGTGTCCGGTGCCCAACCTTGTGCGTTTCTTCCATCGAGTCCCAGCTCGCTCCACCGCCGTATTGATTTTTTGAAATGTAGGCCAACTTCGGCGGTATACTGTCGGCAAGAGGTCAAGCCGTTGGAGTGTGAGCGACCAAATCCAGGCAAGACTACTGTCATTAGCCTGAATGACGCCAGCTTGCNCGCTCCACCGCCGTATTGATTTTTTGAAATGTAGGCCAACTTCGGCGGTAGACTGTCGGCAAGAGGTCAAGCCTTTGGAGTGTGAGCGGCCAAATCCAGGCAAGACTACTCCTGTCATTAGCCTGAATGACGCCAGCTTGTTCCTGTATCAATGGCCCTACATACCGTTGGGTGTGCTCGGGACAGTGCATTCAAACAACATTGTGGGTGGCGCTGTCATTGGTGTTGCCGGTGTCACGTGCGTCGTATCGTCCGTTGTACCTCGGGCTTACCATGTGATAAACTCTCGATCCTCCT